AAAGGGCCTTTCATCCATGAAATAGCTAGTCATATGCGGGTTGAAGTAGCTGGCCAGAGCGGCTACACTGGACTCGGCATGTAAGAACACGTTACACTTGGCTAATAGCAGAATATCAACAAGTACTTGAGTGCCAATTTTTCGCTCATATGGATGAGTTGCATTGTATTTGAACTTAAATTTATGCGGAGGCAATTGACTGTGATATTCCTTTGATCGGAAAGCTTCTGTGAAAACAACCTGCGAAGAAATAATGCTACAAAAATCTTTGAAATTAAAAAATGCCCCTCCCCACCACAATTGCACGACAAGGTGGAAAATTTCCACATTATTTCACCCATTCTGAAATTGGGAAATTTTATAGCCCAATAAAATTAAAATTCATCTAATTATTTAAAAAAAAAAAAGTTTTTGGGACAAACGCTATAAAATTCGTCACACGATGGCTTCTTTGTCTTTCATTTTCCTGAAATTTGATGGGTTACTTTAAACAAGCCTTTAAATCTGATTGGTTGGTTTATTTCAGTGTTGCTTTCTCATTGGTTAGGATAAAATTGCGACTTAGAACAAGATAAAGTGCAACTGGGAATAATTCGCAACACCGGGAGCAAGTCAGATTGCAACTATCACCAGTGATTTCCAAATGGGTGTAGCAAATCTATTATGAGCATCAATGGAATTTCATGATTTCCTCCAATCGAATGGGCGAAAATCTGTTCCTGTTTCCTTTTTCGTCACTAGTAAATTAAAGCTTGTAAACTTTGAATGGTGAAATGCAGCGGGGAATGAACTTACCCAATGTCAAATTAACACTTACCGTTTCTTTTCCAAAAACACCAACAAATTTTTGGATAACTTCATTGTTGTCACTAGCGATGAAAATCTTTCTTGGCTTCCGCAAAGTTTTAAGAATTTCTTGTGCTCTCTCCACCCAACTTGTCATGGACGGAAGCTTATGATCTTTTGCTTCCATCCAATGATCTGTTGCTCGCACCTGAACTCCTAAAACAGTGAACCCCACCATATTTCGACGGTGAAATAGCTCAGCTTTCTCTCTTACTCGATAATTGGGTTTTACATACTGGCGAATTAACTTGTTTACACGGATTCTTTCCGCTGTTGTTATTATTCTGCTTTCATTATACCCCTCCAAGTCGCTTCTATCACTAAAACTGTTATCTATAATTGTAGTTAAATCGGCTTGATCCACGTGACTAGAAACTTGTCCTCCGACTTCCTCTGTATTCTCCTCACCAAGACTTAAAGGGCAAAAGACATTTTCAACTCTCGATTCCATTCCTTCGTTAACAGGTTCGAAATACCACGTCCACGAGTTTTCAGCGGTATCCTGCGAGCAAGCGGAGTTACATCCCCTCCAGAATATAGTTTGTTGGTTGATTCCCAGAGCACGACACATCATAATATGATCTAAGGTAAAAAGGAGAAAAGCAGAAAAACCACTGCCCCCACATTCAGTCATTCCTGGATCTACAACACAAACCGCCGTGCCAGAGGTCCGACCAGAATTTTTTCTTATCGCACCCACAAGTCCATTCCCTGTCTTAAACCGTTCTCTTAAGGTTTCAGTCTTTGACAAAAACCTGAAGCTGCGGTTCAAATTTCTTATGACTTGCGTGGTCAATTCTTCTTTCTTCGGCGATTGGTGATAAAGGCTAAATGACAAAACGATGAAAACTAACCATGCTGGCATTAGATATCGCAGCATAAAACGAGAAATTTTCAAACTTTTGACAGAAGTCAACAGAGCCGGTTGCATTTTATCAATGTGGAAAGTTAAACATGAAGTTCTCTCTTTAGTTTCATTTTAGATGATAAAGAGTGTAAAATACAAGGCGTTTGTCATAATTATGCATTCAGAGAAAAGACAAATAAGCATAATTACGCAGAGAAACGACGGGTGTCAAGGAAGTCATTCAGAAATGAAAGACAAGTCGTACTGTGAATCCAATGACAAGCGATGTATGTGGTTTACCCACGTTACGAAGCGAAGTAATCCGCGTCATTCAGGCTCCAAGTTTATTTAATTGGGCAGACCACTTGCCAGGAGCCTTACCTACAGAATAATATGTTAAATTCAAGTTTCATTAGGAAAAACAGCTGTTGGACGTCACGCACTTTTGAATGATTAACTGAAACATTAACGACTGAGACCTTCAAGGGCTTTTAAGAGGATAAACGAAGAATAAAGCGAAGTGCGGAACAGCCCAAAAGTCATACAGTTTAGAAAACAGCGATGCATTACACCAAATATTTTATTGAAGCTGAAATGAAAATGGGCGTAAGAAGAGTTTTCTAGTGGCTTCCTATCACCTAGGTGGAAAAACGGATTTAAAAAAATTGCTCTTCATAAATTAGTACTGAATGTTCTGAAACAAAAGCTTACCAGTATTCCTCTTTAAAATGCCTTATTAATGACAGCTTAATATACATACGAAATAATTAGTCAGCGCTTTGCTAGATAACCAATTTAAATTTAGATTTTTGTCAAAATTTCCAACCATACTAACAGCCTTCTCTTCTCTCGGTTAACAAAATAATCATTTTGCTTGCTCCAACTTTGGCCATTGTCTGGAAACGTACGGGGTTTTCGCTTATTGTTTACGCGAAAACACCAACAATTCGAAAACGCTGAAGAAAAGATGACATTTGAATGCGTTTTTGACAGAAGAGTCCTTTGAGAACGCCTCGTTTCTATTGCGCGCAGGTGAAAACAGTGGGGTTGATCACAATGATCGACGTCGGTAACTGATTCATCTTATAGCTTCACTGTTATCTTAAATCAGGAAGTTTTCAGCAATTTCAAACGGACGATTAGCGAAACGCATCAAGAAGTTTGCATTTTTAAATAAAAAAACACAGTGTTAAGACAAAAAACTGCAAAACCGCAAATGAACTGCATAATTCAGGCCCCGATCACTCTAATATGTTTTCAGAAAGGTACGCGGTGGTCACTACACACCGATCTTTCCTGAAGTTACGTTAGTAGTATGGTAAATGGGTTTTATTACACGACTCGAGTAGTCAGAGGGCCAATAACTAAAATCAACCGATCAAAATGCTCTATTGCCCGTCAATATTCTCTCAGTATTAGACCAGGCACTGTCCCGAATGGTCCCGAATGATACCGCACTTGTGTCTCTTTGAACTTCAGCCGTATAATAAATATCTTATTAACCAAGCTTGCTCGGAACCTAACTGGAAGAATATCGGCCCTTGGTCTTTTTTGTACGGACCGAGCGCAG